TTGCTCGTTCCCTGTGTTCATTTTTCTTTCCCCTGAATTGCCTCTGCAGACAGAGGTGCCCAGAACAGATGTCCTGGTGACCCCATGCTCCTGGTGGCAGTCAAGGCCACTATGTTCTGCTCATTAACTCAACAGGGACAGGCATTGTACAGGTTGGGAAACTCAAATACATGTTTTAGGTAGATGACCTCTCAAACCTAGAGGGGATGCCATCAGCTGTTCACACAGTTCTTCAACACAGGATAGAGACACCTAATCTCTGAAATCTCTGGAGATGTGTGTGTGTATATATATATATACATATATACATATATATGCTATAAATATAAGACAGCTTTATTCTCACTGTATCATATTGGAAGCTTTCCACACTCAGTCACTCCACCAGCTTTTGGTAGAAGTAACCTTAAGCTCTTGGATAGCTGAGGAAGTAGCTCTCTTCATACTGTGTTCATACATCATGGTGTATACTCTGTAGAGAAAATGGGTCAACATGCTGTGGGCTTTCCAAAGTCCCTCATGTGAGCTCGGAGCCTCTGCACTTAGATCTTCAGGTTATATGTATGGTTTGCTTTAGGGCAGAAACCTGTGTAAGACACTGAGACAAGAGAGAGGCAGGCTTTCTAGCAGTAAAGTATGTAACATAGCTAGCTGGAAAACAGTAAGGCTGTTATCAGTGCTTTATTCTTTAGAGTTTCACAGTGTTTTTGGTGTTTGAAGGTGCCTCTGGAGATCATCAAGTCCAAATACTTGCCTAGAGCAGATCCAAGTAGATCAGGTTACCAGAACTGTGTTCTTCTGGGTTTGAATATTTCCAAAGATGTAGAATCCAAAATGCTGTTTTGAATATTTTTTGGTGTATGTCTAGGAATAAAAAATCAAAATTTATTTCATTTATTTCATGTGTATCAATTCCCCTATGACCTGCACCAGTTGACCCACTTACTTTCCTTTCCATGAGCTTTTTATAAATAATTATATGTATATATATAAAAGATGTATTATATAAAAGAAGAGTATAAGAAGATAAGTAATGATGCTGTAATGAAAGCTCCCACAGAAATTATGAACATACCCATTCATGGTTAAAGACAGTCTGGTTCTGAGCATTTCTCTATTTTTACTGTGGTTTGTAATTGTAGAAGTGGATAAACAGAGTTGTCTCTGTTTTATGAATAGGAACTAAAAATTTTTGTCAGTCCTGATTGTAAAGTTGTTTCATGCCATTTACCTTATTTTGTCATATTTCTGTAATGTAAAAGAAAAATATTTGTGTTCTATGTGTATGTGTAACTATGGGAACCATGAAGTGATTAAGAGGAGTACAGCTTCTGTGGCTCATCAAGGCAGCCAAATGTCCAGATAGATATACAAAACTTTTTAGGGTTTTTTTGAAGAAGGTTAGAAGAACGCACAAAAAATATCTTTGTGATAATAATTTCTAGGGTACCTTAATGGTCTGTGGAAAATGGAGATGATGTTACAGAAAATGTGACTAGAAATTCATGGCTACTATATTGTCAGAAGAAACCGAAGGAAATTCAGGCAAGAGAAATAAAGTTGAAAAAGAATCTAAGCTATGAGGAAGGAGACCTAGATTTAGAAGATCACAGCTAGTAACTATGACAATGCAGTTTTTGGGGTATTTTTTTAGTACTAACTTCTTTGTGTAGCAGATTTAGAAAAGAACTTGCAGGGGAAGAATATTTAAATTACTGTATGTAAATGTGCTGGTGTGAATTTTTAGACACAACTACCGCCTTCACCACTAGTGATTTTGCTTTCTTCCTTGAGCTCCAAAGATGTTCTCAGAGAATTACATTATAGTACTTCTGGATGGTGTCTGGAACATGGCAGTGTGCTGTTTTAGAATGATATTTCATGTTGTTACTTTATAGTTGCCTAAGTGTCGGAGTTCCAACACTCAGTTTGCTGCAGGATTATTCCAGATAATATATAATTTTTGGGAAAATTGTTGGCAGCTTTCTGAAAGATTGGCAGCAGTAGCTTAGAGCTTTTGGCAGAAGGGCATATGAAGAAAGGTGTTTTTCCTTTTCTTTTTTTAATCTTAAAATTAAAATGACTAGTAACATTGTTGCTAACAGCAGTGGCAACAAAACTAGCATGAAATGCCCTTTTGATGTTAGCTACTTGAATCACTGCTCCGCTGCATCTTTCCCCCCTCCTATAGACAGGTTTTAGCTGTGGATTTAGGAACTGAGGCCAGGAACATGATTAGGATCAGTACATGAACTGTGTGCTCAGTTGCCTAAAAGTAGGCATCTGATGCCATTTCTTTTGCCCTAGGTACATAGGACAAATACATGTGGCTGGCACATGGGATCTAACTCCTGTGGCAGTGAGCTGGGACATGCTGACTTACTGCTACAGGCACTAGGCTCTCATTAGACACAGGATTGTATTTTATTTCACTGTTTCTACATGAAAGTGAGTGGACTCTCTTTGGCTGGAGACCTAAATACCTGAAATGCCTACAGTAATTTCAGTGTAGACAGAAACAAAATTTAGGCGTCTTACTCAAATCCTTATTTGTACACATAGAATGTCATTTGAAAATATAACATCTAAATTAACAGAAAGGCAAGCAGAAAAAGAGTAGGAGGTGCAGTCTTGTGCAAGTGGAAAATTCTGGTAAGGCAGACTTCTAAACATCCCTCCTGGAAGTTCTCAGTCAAGCTTGTGAATGGCACCATAGGCTTTAAGGCAACAGGTAGTTCTGTGAGCAGCCTCATTTCCTATGAACGTGTCTTGTGGTTGAATTGCCATGTCGGTTCTGTGACGCCAAAAGAGATTGCACCAATGAAATATTTATAGGAATTTTATAGAGCTGCACGTTTTGTGTAAATTTTAAGAATATAATGACCTGAAAACTTCCATGCCTGTGCAATTTTTTATTGCATTTGTCCAGTGGGGTAGCTCGTTATTGTAGGATGCAGGCAGAAAATAGGAAGAAGCCAAATCAGCTGTCTGCAAAATCTTCCTTTTCTTGCCAAACTGGAATACAAATATCTAGCTGAAAACCTAAGTTCTGAAGAAAATCTGCTTCCATAGGAATAGAAGAACAGAATACTAAATTAAAATGGCTTATTGTCATTGTTCTGAAATGGCTGAGCTCTGTATGTCTGGTGACCATCAGCATGGGCAAAGTGATCCTCTCCCTGATTGGAGAGGTGGGCAGCAGAGAATTGCATAGTCCTGTCGAACTCTTCAGTCCAGAGGAGAGGCTTTAGGAAAATCAGAACCTAGACTCCTCAGTTGCTTCTTTACTATTACCTTAAACGTAATCTGGGACTGTTCCTAAGTTTTAGAGTGTCAGTATGAGTAAACTGACACAAGGCTATTGGCACCCTCTTGATCTTCTGCCTTGGGCATTTTCTTATCAACTTTTCCTGGGAGGTGGGGAGTTGGAGTGTTCTGTGGTACATCTCCAGGAAGCACCTTGTTTGGAGTCAACTTGCTTTGAAGTAGAGCAGAGATCCTAGCACAGATACTGATTATTTTGTGTCATTTGGCTTCAGTGCTCAAAAATGTTTCTGTGCAAGTCTAGTGTGCCAGTATTGGTGTAATTTCAAGATGTAATTTGATGGAAAATGCTGAGACAGTGCTGTATGCAAAACATACCCTTATCCCCATTTGGTTTTGTTTCTGATCACATGATTTTACTACTCATCATTCCCTCTATGAAAAAAACTAGATGTGACAGAGCATGAAACCAGTTTAAGAAAATACAGATAAGTTTCTGCAATGTTTTTAAATACAAGGGGCTCCTGGGAGAGCCTGACTGTCAAGGAACAGTATACAAGTGGATATGTGGCACAGGGAACCTTCCTGTGAGAAAGAAAAGGAGAGAACAAACCCAGATAGGGAGAGAGGAGAGAGTTGAGGAGAAGACCTTCCCTTTTGCTGGGCAGAAGCTATTGGATGCACCCAGCTGTCTGTACATTTTGAAAAATATATTTAATGTAAACTTGGACTCATGAGCGCACATTCTTTAGAAAGGCAGAGTTGTTTATTTATTAAGATTTTGGACTAATGTAAATATTCAGGCAGATTTTCAACTTTATTTATTTATATTTTAATGGAGTGAAGTGGTCGCAACATTTTAGCTAGGATTTTATTACAGAAATCATTTTGATATTGCAGAAGAGATAAATGCAATTCTGTATAATAATTTCATGGTTTGCTGCATGTTTTTATGTTATCTCAGAAACATTAAGTGATGCATAATCTAACTTAATTTTGTGAATGAAAATTTTGTAGGAGGTAACTGTTATCATTCCTTCTCTTTGGCTTTCAAGAGATGACTTGTAGGGTGGTGGCAGAGCTCTGCTGAGGTTAATGGTGCCTCAGGCAGTGAAGAGGATCTGCCTAATTAGATCTGTCTGAAATAACCAGTGTCTTCCAAAAGTGCATAGGAGGAATGTACATTAAATCAACAACCTGAAAAAATGTTGTGTACACCCTTCAGAAGGGAAATAATTAAGGTAGTGTGAAGGTTCAGTTAGGAGTAGCTTGTGGCCTGCTCTGTTAGCACACTTGTGACCTAATTTGCTGCATAGGGATGAAGCAGGATGCATGGGAGTCATACTAACTGTGGGATTTCAATTTCTAAACTCAGGAAGCAAAAAAGGAGTGTGCTCCTTATGTACCCTCCTCAGAATCTGGGCTTGGGTGAAGGATTTGGGGAACTTGCTCTGACCTCAGTCTGAGTTTTGCCTGGCATGTGTCACATAAATTCAGTATAACTTTTGTGCCCCCCACAATGTGACTTTAGCCTCCCAGTGCATGTTTGGAAGTTTCCAAATTTGACTTTGAAAAAAGCCCTTTTTTCTGCATTCTAAAATGCAGGCTTGAAATATTTAATAATGTAGAATTGTTCTTATTTTTGTAACTGAAAATGCTCTTTCTGTGTGTATAGTGATATATATATACATTACTTACTATGGGCTCTTTCAAGTTGGAATTTCATGTTGTGTTAGTACAGGAATTCTGTTCCTCCTCATTGTGGATCACATTCAGCAGTACCTGTAAGAGTAAGTTTGAGGAATATTTTTTCTGTGAATGAAATACTCTGTATTCCACATGAAGGCAAGCATGGGATCCTTCTAGCATGTTTTCACGCAGCCTGTCAAGTTGCCACATGAATCTGTGTGGGAACTGCTGACCCACATGTGCTGAGTCCTGTGTGTGCCACTGGTCTTTTTTGTTATGTAGCAGTAAAGCCCAGAACCCTTTGCTATGCTGTGAAAATGCACCTTTTTCCAGAGCCATGCATATGAACCCTCTGAATGAAGAGCCCCCTTTTACTGGTTCTCTTTAATAGCTTCACGTGTGAAATTGCATTGACATGTGCAAGGATGCAATAAACCAGAAACAAACCCAGAAACAAAAACCAGACTCTGGATGTCTTGAATGGCTTACTGTAGCACTTCATCAGAGCTCACTGTCCAGAGGAGAGTAAACAGAAACTATTTTTGAAGTGACAGGCCAGAGTAAAATTGTCTTACGCTCTTCATTTTACTGATGCATCACGTGGAGGTCCAGAAGCCACATTAGAGAACTGTAATCCTTCATCAGACCATTTGTTTGGTTGCCTAACATCTGTGGATTGTTAAGATAAGTTATTACACAGACCTGCTTTAGTTTAGATTAGTTTGGACCACATCCCAGTATATTCAATCAGGATATAATTCCTGCATGCTGCTGAATTGCTTGCTCCACATACTTCTCTAGAAATGTTTTTCAATATACAGTTTTGTCACTGAAACTCCTCTGTCACCTCAATTTTTGATTTTTTTTTTCTCTTAAAGAAGAGCTTTTATTATTTTTCCTTTTGGACCGAACAGATCTCAAGGCAACTGTAGCATTTTTTAATTCCTGAAGAGATTCCTAAACAGGGGTGGTAGTATAGCTTCTATGTGAGTATAATACAGATTTCCTATGTGTGTAATCTGTGTTGATTGGTATGTATTGTGTCCAAGAGGCAGAGTTTAAAAATAGCTGTAAGAAAATGGGTTTGTATTTACTTGTCTACTATTTCTTCTTTCAGTATTCTGTACTTTTCTGAGTCTCTTTGTGAATTAGCAATTCCTATTTGATTGTATCTCATAATATTTTTTGCATAAAATGAATTACAGTATCAAGGGTGATTATGCAAATTAACAGTATTTTCTTGAAGTTTATTACATAATTTATACATATTTAAAATTATTTAATGCATTAAGTTGCAAAGGAAGTATGTTAGTGGGCTTGCATATATAGACACATATGAAATTTAATTAGGATAATTTACTTAAGTATTCCTTATCCTTTAAACAAACTAGTTGATTAATTTTTTTATTAACACCTTTTTCAACCTTTCTTGGAAACTGATAAAATGCAAATAATGACATTTTTTGTTACTGATTTTCGTTTATAGCGTTGACATGGATTTTGTACACAGACACATTTGCATGCACACTTTTGCTGTCTAATGAACTAACAGCTGTTGCAGATCATATAAAAGCATTTCAAAATGTGGCTTTTTTTCCTTTTAGCCTTTCTGGGTTTTTTTTTTGAATGCCTATAATAATAATAATCTGATAGACTAAAAGTCTATTCTGTTTAGAACACATAGTCTAATAAACTGAATTTCTGGTTTTTGAGGTGTACTAGATGGAATAAATTAGACATTTTGGAATTGAGGGTTCTTTTTTTTGAGGTCTAGAATTTATCTTTGTCAAAGTTGCTGTTTCTGTTATCCTACTTAGTGTTATTTGTTTTCATCATGGTATATGTTTATGCCCCTGTTGCAGTAACTGTAGCTTTCGATTAAGGTTGGGTCTTTTTTAATTAAAGGATTAATAGATACTTTATTATCCTTCTTAAACAGAAGAAATATAACAGTCATCTTTTGATAAAGGTGCAATCCTGACAGGGGGTAAAGAGTTGGATGTCTTCTCTGTGTGGTTTGGTCAAACAGTGCAGGAATGCACTTGGAAGTTCTGATGTAGTTTTCAGACCTACAAAGATAGTCTATTTAAATAAATGTTAATTATTTTAAATATGTGAAATGCCTAAAATTTTCATCGTACCTCGTAAGCCATGCACTACCTCCACAGGCCAGAGAGTAAAAGAGCTCAGTAACAGAACTTTGTCCTGTGTAAGTTTTGTCCATTAAGTGTTTTTTTCCTCTTCTTTTTTATTTTAAGCACTGTACAATTTTGTGACTCTTGCATCATTCCTGTCTTTTCGCAAAATAATCCAAGCATATTTTTCCTTCCAACTTTTGTCATTCTTCTTTGCCTCGTTGCAATTTTACCCATTCCTATATACTTTCTGTATTAAATTATTTTCTTTACCATTTTCCTTAATAAGAATCAGCTTTGTTTCCTTTCATCTCTGTTTTTATTTCTGACAAAAATCTCTCTCTTCTATATCCTTCATGCATTTTGCCTATTTTTTCTTCTTTCTGAAAACTGTTTTTTTCTTTGTCTAAATTTTATCTTAAATTTTCACATACTATAGTCTTGATTAACCATTTCTTTTTCTCTGGTGAGTTGCTCCTGTACATAAGACTGTCTCTACAGTATACAGGCTGGAAACATGAAGTCTTGCTTTAATGCGTGTGCTCCTGTATATCTGTGTGTAAGGAATTAAACCCTCCAATTTTTTAAAAAAAATCCTAGGCACCAAAGTCTAGGCACACAACTTAATTGTGATTTACAGGGACACAAGTTTGTTAAGTTATTATTTGCAGCTATCACTCAAAGAGATAATGATGATGGTTTGCAAGTAGTACAGAATATGGTACTTCTGCGTTATTTTCATTGATGTATTTAGTTTTCTGTTAGTAGATTTCTTAAGGTTTTACTTTACACCTCTAAGTAGTTGCAGTAGGTGTAGCTAAAATCATTCACAGTACATAGTGAATTTATTTGCAGGATAATGTGGAATTATTCAATGTGAGAAAATTAAGTCACAAGAAAATACCGTGTCAGTTTTCTGTGACCACAGAAGTTGGGAGTTAGCTGGGCAGGACACTGCCCCCTGAGGTACAAGTCCTGTTTGCAGTCTGGTGGGCTTGTCTGTCCTGATAGCGATCCACACCAGTGGAAAAAACCCAACCCACACCCCGCTGCATCAACCCCCCAGCAAGCGCTGCTCATGTGGTCGGTGTGTGTTCAGAGGAGAACTAGGGCTGGGCTGAGGGAGGATTGCCACAGGTAGGACTGATGTATATTGACAAGACATTTTGGAGAAGCTCGCATAGCATGTGCCTGTAGGATGCTTGGCTCTAGCCGGTGGAGAAGCATGTTCTGGGTCCTGTCATGAGCACCAGCCTCCCTAGCTCAGAGAGCCAGAGGCCGGCCCTGCTCGGCGGTAGTGAGCATGCATTCCGGGCTCTGGGAGGCAGCTGCACTGACTCTTTTGTTGTCTTCAACTAGGTTATGTGGGTATGCAATTTATGTCGAAAGCAACAAGAAATCCTAACGAAATCCGGAGCGTGGTTTTTTGGGAGCGGGCCGCAGCCGTCGCCCAGCCAGGACGGGACGCTGAGTGACACGGCCACGGGCGCAAGCTCGGACACACCGAGAGAAAAGAAAGCGAGGCTTCAGGAGCGATCGAGGTCACAGACTCCCCTGAGCACAGCAGCTGCCTCATCACAGGAAATCTCCTCTTCCAGTGTGCAGCCTGACCGTAGGAAAGGAGCAGAAGTGTCGCAGCCGGCTATGGGCCCGGACCAAAAGCAAGCTTCAAGGTCTAGGAGTGAACCTCCAAAAGAGAGGTAATGCTTTCTGTCTAGACAGAGCCTACAATGCTAAATGCTAGTTCAGTTGGGCCTTCTGTATGTTTACTATTGTGCAAAAACAAAGAGTAAATTGATTTACTGACCAGGGAAAGATAAATTTTTGCTTCCAAATACATTGTCTGTTTTGGTCTATGGAACATAAAATGAAGAAAAAAAATATTTTATGGATATTCTCATATACTTCAATGCCTTTTGATGTATAATTTGAATACAGAATTGTAGGTTGCTTTTAAAGTTTAAATTTGACTGGTATTTTAAAATTATTAAGCTAAGAGCTTGAATTTTTAAAGCAACATTCTCCTGAAAAGTCCATACCTAAGGAATCAGAAAACACCCTGTGGAATTCTTTCAGATAACCTTATGTTTTATATGAGATATCATTGATATTATTTCCAATTTTATTGTTAGAAATAATACAGGTAAAAGACCTCATTTACATGTGTGAAGTTAACATTCATGTACAACAGCAATAGTGCCATCTTGAATGCAGAGCAAGTTTTTTACAAGGATAAAGCAACCAGAAGCAAAGTATTTTAAATGACTTAAATAGGTAATCCCTGAGCTACATTTCATGTGATGAATGGGTTGAGGAGTAGGAAATCAGGAGAGGCTAATGCAATGAAGCAGTTGCTGATCCTTTGGCCGCTGCCTGGCAGATGGCAGAGCAGTTGAGGACGGAGCCTGTGACAACAAAACAGGAGTCAGCCATAGAAGATTCTCCAGATTCTTGCCAGAATGGTTGATGATTTTTTTCCCCCTAGCTGAAAATGGATGGTGAGCTAGTAAATTACTGTGTGGGTGAGATTTTTCTGGGTTTAACTGTAACAAATTCAGGTTAGTGTTACACATATGCATCGTGTAAGTGATGCCCTTCCGTAATTCTGTAGACTTTTGTCCCTCAGCACAGGGAAGGCCCTCAGAGTAGCTGTAGCTTTTAGGGCAGGAAAACACTTTAGATTTCTGCTTTGCTGCCCAAAACTGAGATGTTCATATCAGTTATACAGAATTAGTGTTCTTTACTTGTCACTGAGAGTTTAAATGAATTCCAAGCATTCTGATTGAAGACTATCTGTAGTAAGCTCAGGTCCTGTTAATTGCCAAAAATTCTGGAGAAACAGGAGATGAGGGGGAAAAAAAAAAGAGAAGGGAATAATGTGGATGATGTCCAACTTTGTTCTTTGTGAGGGTCTTTGATATGTAATCCAAAGATGTGTCAGTTGTGGAAGGGAAGATTCAGTGCCGCAAAACAAAGTCCTAGTGACTTTGTCCTGGAGTGTACTCTTCTCAAATACACTGTGTAGCTGTGTTCCTCCTTCTTCAAAATCAATGGATTCATATGTGAACTGCTGAATGAAAGGGCAGTTTGAATGATGAGAGAAATAAAAATGTCCTCCATAAGGGAATTTTATGATTATTTGGCTTGCTTATTGGCTTGCAGAATATGAAAGAGAAAAAAATTCATGCAACTTCATTATTTATTGTTTTGTACTTATGTCTGCATAGAGAAATAACTTCTCATCCTCTTTTGGATGGAGAAAGTAATACCATTAATTTATCTCAAGGAATCAATCTGCTTTCCTATACATGCTTATGAAATGGGCACTTCTTTTTAGAGTTTCAAAGATAAATCAAACTAGTTTAAATATTATTTCTGGATATATTATCTTTTGCACTTTTTAAACTATATTACTTCTTTCTGTAATATTATTGTGGTAGATGTCCATTTGGTGGTATTTACATCTGTGCTGTCAGGGCACTTGAAGTGAATTGTGTGGTTAGTCTGTAACTCCCATGACTGCTTCCAGAAAAATGGAGAACATACTCCAGTGCTCTGTCATAATGTTGCAGTGACTACAAAGACAACTCTGGGTCTTCTTACTTACATGGGTAAATTATCCATGTTAATATTCGTTTTTAATTTTACTCATTAATTGAACCATTCATAATTTATGTTTTTGTGGACTCTGGAAGTTGTTTGCTATTGGAAAATAAAATTAAGATGGAAGGATTAATAGATTTAATTCAAGGTAATGGATTCAGTATTTTCTGTTTTGCCATAGCTTATCCTGATTTTGAAATTTTTTTCCATAACTGTGTGCAAGTATTTCTATTTTCCATTCAGTTCTTCATATTACTGTACTCCTTTTCATTGTAGGAAGAAGGCAGTATTGGTTTCTGACCAGAATGGCAAAGGTGTAAAGAGTGAGCGTAAGCGTGTGCCAAAATCCTCTCTTCAGAAAGAAGGACCAACAGACGACAGGGAGCGTAAAGAGCGGCATGAAGGTAGAAGGCTGGAGAAAGGCAAGTCACAGGATTACCCAGACTTGCCAGAGAAACTTGAGGAAGGCAAAGTGCCTGACGATGAAAAACAAAGGAAGGAAGATGAATATCATACCCGTTACAAGAGTGACCCCAATCTGGCGAGATACCCTGTAAAACCACACCCCGAGGAGCAGCAGATGCGCATGCACGCCAAAGTTTCTAAAGCACGACACGAGAGAAGACACAGTGATGTAGCTTTGCCACACACAGAAATGGAGGAAGCGGAGGTACCTGAGAATAAATTAGGAAAACGCTCACAATTACAGGGAACTCAGGACAGAAAATCTCTTGTGGAAACTCAGAGGTCGTACTCTATAGACAGAACAGGTGATGTAAGAATTTCTGTTTCTAAACAATTAACTAATCATAGCCCACCAACTCCCAGGCATAGTCCAGTTCCTATAGAACACGTAGAATACAAGAACCACGATTCCTTTATAAAACAGAGCCGCCTTGATCCTAGCTCTGCTATTCTCATGCGAAAAGCAAAGCGGGAGAAAATGGAGACCATGCTAAGGAATGATTCCCTTAGCTCTGACCAGTCGGAATCAGTGCGGCCATCCCCTCCAAAGCCTCATAGAGCAAAAAGAGGCGGAAAGAAAAGGCAGATGTCAGTTAGTAGCTCAGAGGAAGAAGGGGCATCAACACCAGAATATACTAGCTGTGAAGATGTGGAGATAGAAAGTGAAAGTGTCAGTGAAAAAGGTAAGGACTTTTCTGTATATTATGCACATGGCCATGATTTGGGGAAAAAAAAATCTGTATTTTTCTCTCTCTTTTCCTCTTTTTAATCATACACTTTTTCCCCTTGCCTTTCTTTTTTTGCCAACTGAGAAGTGTCTTATACCTGATTACATGTGCTTTACAATGTTTCCTTTTGCATTCTTAGATGAGATGATTACAGGTAGTGTCAGCTGATGAGTTTCCTTTTCATTCTCTTCCCTCTTTCACCTGGAAGTGACAGAATTCAAGGGTTCTAGTCTACTCTCTTGATGATATATGTACTCCTTTGGTCATTACTTCATTCTTTGGTCTGTACGTAGAACAGACATGGATGGATTGAAATTAAAAGTGAGTTCTGTAACAATCACAGGAGACCATTATAAGATATGCAAATTTTTACTACATTTAATAAAATATCAAAAATCTGCCAGAGTTCATTGTTACTAATGACAAGTAGATATGGGGCAAAGGGAGTGTTATGTAGAAAAAAAAAAGAGAATTGACAAAGTTGTTGTCTAGATGAATTTTCTCTTGAGCTAAGAAGTATGTTTAAAGTCCGTTGTATCAGTTTGTCTTCATCTGTTGACGGTAACACTCAGCAGCAAGGAATAACTTGTAGTACACTATGTGCTTTCAAACAAAGCCTTTCTTCTGGCTGAAGAAGTTAATCAAATTTAGGAATCCTGAACAGATAAAATAAGCATTGTCAGAAAAGACTGTGGCAGAATTTAGCAACAGCGTTACAATCCTGCTTTGTCTTTGGCTGACAGTACAGTGAGCTGGAAGCTTTTTGTGTCTTTGGTTTTTAGCTCCTTAGTTCAACTATCTGTGTTTGTACCTTGAAAGTTTCTTGCTGGTATTCATACTGAAAATTCCAAAGGCTTGTCTGCATTGCCTTTTAGTTCCTGGCACTGTTTCCTGACATGTCTGTGATTCATATATGCTAATCTGTCTGTCTGTCTTTATCTGATGTTGTGGTCTCCCAGCATCACCAAAAGCTCAAGGAATACATAGCAAAGATAGCAGATTTTTCTCCTATCCCATCTGGATTACTGCTTGTTTTAACGTTCTAAGCATGAGCTTTTCCATTCAAAATATGGAAACTTGCTTTTCTGCTCATTTTTAAGAGGGAATGGTGATCATACTCTGAAAGTTTATTCCAGATTCCACTCAAACATAAAAAAATCTCACTTATTTGACTGAATTTTGTCAAATACTGGAATGTATCACACAGAGATTTTTACAGTCTCCATCCTTGGACATGCTCAAAACCCAAATGGAGAAGGCCCTGAGCAATCTGCTCTGCTGACACAACTTTTGAGCAAGGGTATTTGAACTAGGGACTCACAGAGGTCCCTTCCTGTCTCAACTATTCTGTCTTTCTAAGACAACACATCTCTTTCACTTATTTTGTGGCCATGTTTTAAGCTGACATTTGGATTTGTGTAATTTTCCCTGACTCCATCTGTTGGAAGTAGAAGTCAGTAATACAGCATTTCTTTTCCACCTTTCATTATGTTTATCAGTTTGAGGCTGCTTATGAAGTGGATGGAATTCCCCATAATCAGTGTAGGTTATTCTTATAAACTGAAAGATTGTTCTGTAAGTGAAGTCCAGGCTGAAAGTTACTGTACTGATATAATTACATTGATATAGTTGGTGTTATAATAGTCTTTCATAAGTAAAATCTTTCAGTAGCTGCTTTCAGGCTCATGACACTGATCTCAGCTTTTGACCAATTTCCCCATGTACTGTTAAAACATAAAGGCTTAGATTTTTTTTCCCTTAGTGGTATGAATTCCAGAGAATTTCAAATGTTGCTAAAGGTTTATGTTCTCAGTGACTGAATCAAGCTCTTGGTTACCTCCTAGACACATGTTCAGGGTCCCCCTTTACAGAGTGGAGACCTTGGTTAGTATCACATCACAGTGCTACCTCAGTGTATTTGGATAAAAGTTATTGATAGGAGTATGTTAGGGACCTGTCTGACCACTGACCTCCACGTACGTGATTTACATTGTTGAGCATTCCTTGGGACTTTTTATCTAATTGCCAACAGAAATATGTGTGTGTGTGTGTATGTGTGGAGGGGTATTCAATGCATTAATTACAGAGGTATATTTATTAATTTAATAGTTATGATATTTAGACATTATTTTTTTGCCTGATTTTTTATATGACTTTTCCTTAACAAGGACTGTAAATGGAAAGCCTTTGAAGATGGGAGTATATAGCCCATAAAAAAAGAAATAGGAAATATGAATAGAAATGAGAAAGCAGAAACGTTTTTTGATTGTAAAGTATCCAATTATTTTTACAGTTACCTTTTCACCAGTACTTGAAATACTCTGGAGTATTTAATAAAAATGGAAAGGCAGGAGATTTTATTACCTAAGAAAATATTTTAGAAATTCCCCAGTACTCTAAAAAAACATATGTGGCAGTAAAAGGATTTCGTTTTAAAGATGTATATATATTTAAAGAATTTTAAAATGCTGCTATTATAAACCTGATCATAATCCCATTCTTTGCAATTTAACAGCATTGTTACAAACCAAATTTCACCAGAATTTCTTCAGTTTTTTGCTGGTAACTTGGGAGAAATACTGCACAGGTTCAAAGTTATAGTGCTTTACTTTATAAGCCCAGGAGGATCTGGAATCCATCCTCTCTTATCTAAATGTCTGCTCAGTCAGAAACCTGGTGCCAAAGTAATATAGATGACACTAGAAGCTTTGAATGGCCCTATAAAAAATCCCCAAGATCTTAAAAGTAATGTTTGCATTTGGTGAATGCCAATATGAAATGATCTGCACCTAAGTAATAAAGATGTACTATTTTCAGTTCTATATTGAACAAATAAAATAGAAGTTTCTATGAGAAACAGCTTATAGGGATGTTTAAAGGCAAATGATGCCCCAGAGAAAGACACAATACAGGTAGGATGGATAAGACTGTATTGAAAATCAATAGCCAAAAATGTCATGTAAAGCAGATACTGCGCAAGTGTTATTTTTTAACATTTGCATTTCCTAGAAACAGATTAGTATTGCATTACCCTATCTTCTGAGCCCAAAAAGCCTTCAGAAAAGCAACCTAATCTAGCTAGTGAATCCCTTGCTATTTACTTTTATAATTTAATATGTATTTCTTCCAAATTATTCAAAAAATTATGCACAAGCACTAGGAGATTTCTTTCCAAAGAGTAAATGTATTTTGAAATCCACTGGGATTTTACTTCTTTGGTGGAAGATCAAAAGATTTGTGTCAAATTGTTTCATGTTGGAGTAAATCTAGAGAAAGAGCTCTTTACAGTGTCAAAAAAAAGAAAAAGATGAGTGTCATCTCAAATTCTTATTAAATTATCTACACCCTTTACAGGAAACTACAGAATGCTGATAATAATTTTCATTCTATTATTAATAGAGGCTTTAGAACTCCTTTTTCTGAAATTTCTGATAGTTGAACAACAGGTGGACTGCGTTTCCAGTGAAGTCCTGGCAACGTGAAAGGAATCCTTGTAGAAGGCATAAATTGCATTCATACTTCTTCAAAGACAAGCTAGAATAACATAAACCAGACCATTAAAAATTAAATCCAGACCTCACTTTAAAAGTAACAGTTTCTGCCTCCTGCCATCCAGTGAAGAATGCAAATTGTATTTGGCGTAAGTTCGAGCAAACGCATTTTCTCTGAAGTTGAAAAATAAGAATTTGTGTAAAAATAGTAGATTTGTGTCCAGATGAAGTTGCATAAAAGTTACTATATCCATTGATGGATACAAGAGATAGTTCAGAATTTGTCATGCAACCTTTGAAAATGGAAGATAAGGTATTGTTGGAAGTTGGAGCAATGTGGAGGAAGTACTGCTCCAGTACTTTTATGTAAATAAATGAGCTAATGATTTTACATTTTGCGTACTTATTGTTCATATTTGTCTACATGTGTATTTTGTTCACCCACTTTAGGCTTGAAATTACAACTAATACTCGCAAATTGGTAGTAAAATATTGAAAACCTAAGTAAAAATCACTCTGTATACTTGCTACTGGATTTATTTGGGAGTGAGGAGAGCATGATAGAATTGGTGCCTTCCTTGAAAAACAAACTCCTGAGATGGCTTTCTGCTTTCTTTCAGAGAAGACATGATTGTTTCATTCATAATGCCTTTCTCACAGTAATGCGAGAAACAGGGTGACCCAATTTAATTTAATTTCATTCTAATGACATTGATTTCTGGTTAGAAAATGTAATGGGCAGGGATCTTGCTGTTTTCTTGGTTTATTCCCAGATGTGGAGGTCAGGAGCAGAAAGGGATGCTGTGATTTGCTGGCAAATATGTCAGTGCTGGCTCAGCCTCAGGAGAAAGGATCTGGCCCCTTCCTCCATCCTTTTCTGGTGTTTGGAGGGTCCCTTTGGGTACTTGTGCTTGGGGGCGCTCCCAGGAGAAGGAGAGAATGAATTATATCCTTGTCTCAAGGATTTGTTGCAAGCTCTGTGAGCATTGTTGACACGGAAGGTGGCTTGGGAGTTAGGAGGAACCACACACATGCAGTAGGGCCTGTAAAGGAACCAAAAGAAAACGTCAGGAAAGGGCTGTAGAGAAGAGGAGGCTGGTTTGAAATGTTTTTAATTAATCTTTTTGACTGAGGTAGTTTCAGTCTGGAGTGTAGGCAAGTGAAATTGTACTGTAACATCTGCTAGCATGTTTTAACATCTGTTTGTTTGGAGAGTTGGGCATGGAGTTTTAAAACTGGAGCAAAAATTGTTTAAAAGTGCGGCTGAGATTTACCTTAGTGTAAAATAAAATGTCCTTCCTAGGAAGATTGCTGGTTTTTAAACATTAGTTCAAATTTATCTTCTAGTCCTTGTGCAGTAATTTATACCTACATCTGATTCAGATTTTAATGGAAATATAATTTAAAATGACTCTTGTTTCAGAGTTTTGTTCATTGCTAACATTATTCAATGTTATCAGTATT